CTCAGCCCCACCATGGTTGTGGCTGAGGTAAGAAAATTTATGATTATGGCACCTCCAGTTGGTCGGAAATGGCACTCTCAGACTGAATTTGAATATAATTTTAATTTTTCTCCACTTTTAAATTTCGGGGAAAAAAAAAATAGTGATGGTGGGCCGGCTGGGCCGGCTTGAATCTGCCACTGAAATACTCATCATAAAAAGTTTTTAAAATTATCCTTTTTAGTCATAATTATGCTCGCTTATATATTTCGTGCAAACTAACATTCATAAAAATAATGATTTATTATCTACTGATTAGCTCGTAACATATTCAAAATTCGAACTATGAAAATCAAATAAGATAAACTTAAAACAGTCATTAATTTAGTCTTTTTTGCATGTACAGTACTTTTAAAATCAATCAAGAGGTTTTTGCTTTTCTCCTCTTTTTGAATTTCACTTTTGTGTAAGTAGTATTGCGAAAAAAATATTGTGAGTGTAAATAATACAGTCTAATTTACCATCGAACAGGACTAGGGAGATAGGGAGCACACAAAACATTAGTTAGCATTTTGATTTCACAAACATAAAGGTGATTTACTTAATTTATCATTATCAGTGGCGGCTCCAGGAAAGCAAATTAGAGGGGGAACAGGGAGGGACTTGCACGTTGGGAAAGAAAATTTATGATTATGACACCTCAAGATTGCCGGAAATGGCACTCTCAGACTGAAATTCTAATTATAATTTTCCTTTGTTTTTTTTTCCTTTTTTAAAAAAATAATTTTGAAAAAATTAGGGTCGGCTCGGCCCCACTTGAATCTGCCACTGATTATTATGGCGTCATTGTGAGACTGCGTCAACGTAACACTGGAGTTTGTAAACTTTTGGTAAGCTTATCACTTAATCGAAATAGGTAGACATCATATCAGTGTTAAAGGCTGAAATTATAAAAAAAAAGTAATCCTATGTATGTAGATAATATTGAACACTAGTATATACGTACGGGTCATAATAATATACAAAAAGAATAAATTGTTTATAGTAGAAATTGTGCACTTTTGAGTTTGGCCTAATAAGAACAATGCTTCCAATTTTAACAACGTTCAGTACATTGTTTTCACAAAAAATTTAGCCTCTGATAGTCGTTGCACCCATAAAATCGATCTAGTGGGTTTCTGAGATGGTTACGAAATGTTTAAACAATTGCGTTTTTACTCGGTTTTGGTCCGGAAAAATACGTACTGAACTTAGAAAGGTGAACAGACAAAATTCATGAGTCATGCGTAATTGTTATTCTTTCCATTCGCTTTTAAAAGTGGGGTTTTAATTATAGAAGATTGGTGAAAAGTGGGGGGACAATCGACATGATGTCCACCACACTTTGAAAAGTGGGGGGACGCGTCCCCCTGTCCCCCACCGATCGACGCCCATGGTCATTGGAACGATGCCTATGGGGGAAATTCCATAGTTTGCTGCATGAAATATATCAGCGCATATTGCACCTGAACCTCCTTAGGTACCTACTTATAATCCTGAGTGAAGAGAAGCAATGAAGATAAAGTGCCTGGCTCAAGGACACAAGCGAAATGCACAGCAAGGGATTGAAACCCCGACCTCGAGGTTGGGAAACCAAACCGTTCCAGCTGCACCAAACCACTTCCACAGTGGTTTGGCGCATAAAAAGGACTTTGTTGATAAATAACACCATAATGTGTATCTGAGATCGACTGTAGGGCATATATCACATTATAACGATTAAAGAGAGGGGGGCCCGTCAGCCCGACAGGGGCCCCCCCCCTCTCGGCCCTACTAAATTTGTCAAAATATTTGTTAACTGGAGATAAAAAGAAAATCATATTCACAATTTTATGTTTGTGAAGTGCCATTTCCGACCATCTAAAAGTGCCATATTCATAAAATTTCTTACCTTCTTGGTATAGACTTCCCCCCTGGCCTCAACTTTCTGGATCCATATTATATCATTTATTCGTCGTTAAAAAACATTTAGAATAACAATGCACATCGATGGAATTCCCAAAAAGGGCCCCCAGTTTAAAAAATACACAGGGGCCCCGGTCCCATTGTTACGATCATAGTGTTGACAATGTTTGTACATGCCTGCAGATAGGAAAAACACTGGTTGCAAGCATATTGTATATCTTAACATTGGTAATTGCATTGTAATTTTATATAAAAATTGTTTGGTTAGTTCTCGTTTGTTTCTTATTCTGTATTTTACATTTAATATTTTGGACTAGAATGGAAACAAGTTTGCCTTATTTGTACTTTACTGTGTTTTTTATCCATGAATATTATTTTTGTATTCAGAATAAGAAATAAAATTTGGCATCACCACAGAAGAATATGACATATCATGATAGTTAATTAGTGATTTTGGAGGATAACTGGTCAGTATTTACGCTTTTCCAGATAAATCGAAATGGATGAATTTTGCAAATGTGTCACAAGCCTTTCCACAACTACATAGTAAAAATACAACAATCATTTTAACAAATACCTTTATCTGAACTTACTGGCAAAACATGATCAAATTTCTTTAGAATATTTTCTCCTGCATCCCATAATTGAAATTTAAACATCAACACTTTGCCACTTCCATCAGTAAGCTTTGCTGGCCAATACACCACTGATGTCTGCAAACCTATCGCAGAGAAGAAAGTTGATTAATGTCGTGATAATTTTATCTTTTAATATAATTTCCTATAATCACTATTCGTTAAAACAGTAGTACTCAGGTACATTTAAAATATTTATTTAACAAACACAAAAACACACACAAAATGTCATTTACAAATTATAGATTATTACTGTTTGTCACAATACCACTTGATATCATTTTATCACTTTGTTATCATTGCAAAAAGCGTTCATGCGGATGCCCTTTTCTTCACTGACAAACCATTGATCCCAATTTCTAACATAATTATTAAGAAGTTGTATCTTAATTTTCTTTGCAAATGTTAATTGATGATAACTAATATAATGCAAGCTTTTTGTGTTTTTAGTACATTTTGATGGTAAATTATTAGGTTTTAAAATGCCTATTCCAAAAAGCCTATTCTAAACTATTAAGATTATGAAGTCATTCAGGCATAACCAACGACCAAAGGCGCCACCTGGTGCTGCGACGACACGACTGTGGTACTCTATAGAGTTCAGTGTGCAACTCTGACAGCACTATGACCAATGAAATTGTTTTATTTTTTTCCAAATCAGTAGACCGTGGGGAATGAATTAGTTATTCGTATACAGTTCAGAGCGCTGTTTAGGATGAAATTAACAGGTCTTGTTCTTATCTAAATCATATGATTTTATTATTTGGAAATGCTCAATTTAATTCTGCTTGCAGTAATGCATAAAAATCAAAGATTTTCGACCCAAAATTGGAGTGCAAAGTTTTGCTTAAATAAACAGGGAAACTCCAAAATGCCAAAATCGGAGTGATTGGCATGTCTGCATTTCTTGATGTGAAATGATATATTTGTGATATATTGAAGATATTACTGTAGAATGAAACAGGAAGTTTCTACATAGATTAGACACTTTATGTTAATATGCTGCGACTTTTATATATTTATATACTCTAAGGTCAGAGGTCATAAGGTCTACCTTGCTGTAACAAAGTGATGAATTAGGACTGCTAAAATGTTGATCGGTTGGTAGGTAGGGAAGTTCTTGTTTGTTTTGTTCTTTTGTTTTTGTTTTTTTTGTTTATTGCTAATTTAAAACTTGTAATGAAAAGACCACTTGATACAATTCAAGTCTTCAAATTCCCCATAGAGAGCAAGGCCTCGTTTTAACTTGAAGATTTTACAGTGTAGTGTTTGATCAGGTGGAATGTATACACTCTTACAACCCCCTGTACGAACAGACAAAAGAAAGACAAAATAATTACACACAAAACATAGGCCTAGCTGAATTTGAATTGCGGACGATAAGACGATATTTTGTGACTTTTTTTTATGTAGAAAAGGACAGATCAAAAACTATTCTTTTTTACATTGCCTTTTAGTCAAACCACATGAATCTAGGTGAAACAATGTCATGTGTTCGAAACAGCTACGAAAATCCAGAATAAATATCGACAGTAAAGTTATTTTTCCCACAATTAAACTGAAATATGGAATTATATTCACTTCGTAAAATGAAGACTTAGGTAATCTATGTTGTTACAATTTTTCAGACAGGTAGATTGCGAATCCCCAACGTTATCTGACATAACGTTACATCATTTTGGTTGTAAGCATAATAATAATAAGCATAATTATAATATACTGTAGATACAAAAAAAACATACCAGGTGTTTCTATATGACTCTTAGGAACAGCAAGTCCTGATAATTTTGCTACAGTACTGGTTTTACCAACACCAGCTTTGCCTGATACAAAAATCTTGTATGAAACATTATCATAAATTAAGCCTGCTGGTAATGCTGGAGATTCAAGAGAACCTAGAAAGACAACAATACACAATCAATAAATTTACAAATGTAAGTTTTTATAAATCCAATTTACTTTCATTTTAGATGTATGTACTATTTTCATTTTTCACTATCATGATTATTATTGTTTTTTATTTTGTACTTTTTCTCATTCAACACAATACTGTTGCTTTATGTTTTCAGTTATTTTCTACACCATTTCTTTCTGCCTACATCAATGTACAGATTTGTTTTGTGTACTGTGTTGCTTTGTTTTTCTTTTACATCCTACACCACTACTATTTTTTTATTTTATGAAACTGACCACGAGTGCACTAATGTAGTAACTGATGACTTTAGTTTTATGTTTATTAATTGCGACCGAAAAAGTAGTCGTTAGCTCTACTGATTAAAAAATAAAGGTAGAAAAATTAACTGATAACTTGCATATATCTGCATTTGGTTAATTTATTTCACTAGATCATTATTATATTCTTGAATTACTGTGTAAACGACATACTGGTACTGCACAAGTTTGTTTTGGTTGGAATAACTGGTTACTGGTTATCAGATTTTCTGCATTCTCTAAAATAATTTTATGGATACTGTACTGTGTTAATATTTTTCAAGTCTGTCTCTTATACACATCTAGATGTGTATAAGAGACAGGTTTACCATCATGCAGCCATCAGGATGTTGAGTTAAAATCTCTAGATAATGTGGCTAATATGATGCATTTTTCCTTCATATTTTTCAATTTCTTTGCTTTCTGTATTTGCATTATGATTTATTCCAAAGCTTTTATAAGAAACGGAACAGAAAATATAATGTCGGCCGTGTTTATGTGTGATAACAGAACTTAAATCGAAGTAAAGCTAGGCCTAGACTAGCAGTGTTGGATAGGCTAATGTTTTCGGCGCCTACTATTTTTCTTGGCAGACCTATCACAAAATCAAACATGAAAAATCCATCGGCATTTATTTTTTGCGTGGAACACAAAAAATCAAAGATCAGTCTTATTTTACATTTTTTTCATATTAGGAATGTCTAAATTCAGTTAAATTATTAACAATTTCATATTACATTTATAAATCTTTATAACATATATAAAAATCAGATTTTTCTTAACAACTGAAATCTTGCCGGGAATGGGGCTTTAACTTTACAACGCCGAAACTATTTGTTCCGAAAGTACTTTCATTAGCATTTGAACAGATTCAATCTAGAATCTTCATGTCGTAAAATCAAGACATGTTTCAGGTACTATTTTTATATTTATTCTTTCTTTCGACTGGATAGCATTTTAAGTAGCGCAGCACTGCTTTTCAAAATGATCCATTTTTTTTTAACAAAGTTTAAGAATATAAATAGAAGTAAGAAATAAACAGAACAAAAAAGTATCAAAAAATAAAGAGAAAAGAAAAAAAACAACAAAAATCTCAAATTGAAAATAACCTTATAATAGAAATTCAATTTAAAGTAAATTAGCACAAATTATATTTTTTAACTTGACTATGATCATATTAGTTGCATTTTTTCTGATTGATAAATTATTACTGATTGGTAGGTTATTCCAATGTTTGGCTGATTGGTGTTGAAAGGTTCAATTTCCTTGAGTACTTTCCCAGTTTGGATATTTTTCCAGTATGAAAGTATTTTACCAGTTTGAAAGGTACTAATACATTTTTTCTTTTTTTTTTCATACAGTAGATCGTAAAATATATATTTATGACGAGAACTGACCTACTTTAGAAAATTAGAGTAATGTATACATACTTTGGGGAAATTTGCAGACAGGGGGTCTTTAAAAGGACTTGAAGCAATTTTTGTAAATGTACAGTATTTCCATTTAACTAAAATAAATTTACCAAATATTCTTCTTTTTCCATTTCGTACAATTCCACTAAAATACTGTTTGCCATCATGTGTTCTATGCCAGTTTTCCTCAAACATCTTTCCAAGCACACCCTCTGTTGACACCATTCACTTGAAATAAATGTAAATTCTTTAATATCAATGTCATTATAATAATAAACAATTAGTAGAGCTCCGCATAGTACACTATAGGAAAATTATTATATGAAGGTTAGATTTAATGCTTGAAAAAATTTCCTGAGGGCCTGCAAGCCCCGAATGAAATTTTTGAATGCATTAAATCTACGAGGGTAGATGAATTCCTTAATTGTTCATACGTCTATCTGCTCTGCTATATGCTGGTGTATATGGTTTAAGCCAACCGAGCATATATATATATATATATATAAATATCATAATATCATAAATCATTTGGCTTATTTATTGAGGCTTGCCTCTAAAGTTTAGTTTTGGCCTTCCTGTTTACTTGTTTAGACTGTTTATTCTAATCTCACCCAGCCTATTGTTTCCAATCATGCTTGCATGAAATTCTCACTTTATCCATCTAGATTTTTCTACCCTCACTCACTCGCCACTGAGGAAGGACTAGTGTTGTCCGAAAGCTCTGGTTCTATTTCTGGCTGTTTACTTACGTTTACTTTTTAGCTGTTGCTTATCATTTTTGTATC